GGTTTTTTTTGTATAGTTCCTGGATTGAAACAGGATCAAGGAGAGAAAGAACCATTAGTGGAACATTTTGTCTATTTGCAGCAGATCTAGTTCCATTGAAAGCTATCAACACCAATATTTTTAAGAGTTTCAAAGCACCCTATAAATAATGGCACTTCAGACAAGTAGTTTCTACTTTCACTTCTGTCTTATCACATAAATTATCAAAGAAATTGCCTCTGTGCACTACCGAATAAAAAAAGAACACCAGGAATTTCTGGACTTCGACTCAGGCAGGCAAAGAAGGACATCGGCAATGGGCGGCTCCTGAAATGCCATCACAAGTACAGCTTTGAGTGTAGGAATCTCCAGATGTGAAAAACCTAAAGTGCCGTAAGAACAGAGCTTGAGAAATCAAGAAGCACAGATTCTGGAAGAGGAACATATTTGCAATGTAAAAGCCCTGGATGATACTATTAAAAAAAAGTCCCATTCCATGTTCCAAAAGAAGAAGAGTACAAATTGAAAACCAATACCAGTGAATGACCCAAGCCTGCCTAAGTCTTGTCCAAACTACATCTGAGTAAAAGATGAAACATCCCCTTGAAGGAGGTGCAGTTGGTCTTTTAAATACCCTAATCTAGGCACTTTTCTAATTGGATTAGCTATAGCCTTTCACAAAAGTAAAAGCGATCCTCTTTAATTGTACATAACAGCATTTACAACAAATAGGTGCTATTTCAGCTGATTAATGTACATTTTGTTTTAGTGGCTGCCCAAGTTCTGTAGCCATTTCAGGAGACAACTCGCTAAACTTGTAAAACATTTTAACTTTATCTGATTTGGCTTTCATCTCTCACACTGAGTTGTAAAACACATTTTTCTTATTCACTAAGCGTGCCACAGACAGAGATTTGGGCTGGAGCCTGATCTACATGACAGCTGCTGAAGCCACGGACAAGAAAAACTATATCTGAAATTGCAGGGAGCGGGCTGGGAACAATAGCACCTACAGCAGCCAGGAACTGCTGAGCTGGGTTAAGATATATTGCCCTGACTATTGCATTTTATTCTCATGGCAGTGGCAGGCCAAGTGCATTGTTCAGACTTCAGCAGCTCTGATTCCCCTATAAAGAGGACAGAGCCGACAGAGCCAGTTCAGAGGTGCTGCTGCAGACTGAGATTACCCAAACTGACCTGGCTGGTTTAAATCACTGTGTTAATGCAAATGCAGGGCTGCTCATGGTTACCCTACATTTAATTCCCTGTCTTAATACAAATACAGAGCTGCTTCTGGTTCCTTCAGCCTCCAGATGCAGTTCCCAGAGAGGGCCTGTCCTTGGATGGGATGAAATGGTATTTCCCCTAATATATGCCCCTTCCCATATTTCAACTTTTCCCTGTTTCTCCTTGGCCTTTTGGGGACAGTAATTCTCACCTGGACAGGCTGGCTCCCTGCTGGTGGCCAGCAGGAACTCTGGGGACATTCAAATTTTTGGCTGTTTTTTCAGCTGGTGCTTAATGACCAGCAAGATGTGCTGATGTTTGAGCAGATTCCAGAACCTGGTGTGAGAGATTTCAATTTAACAAGAATATTCTGCAAGGCTCCCAGGATCAGTCTGGGGTGCCTGCAACTGCCTGAAATGGGTATGGGGTTTGGAAACAATTAAAAAATCTGTACACATTCCCTCACCCCCACCCCTGAAGCTCATCCAGGAGCACTCTAAGGATGTGAATCCTGAGCACACGCATCATTTATCCCTGAGAATACGGCTGGGCAAAGAGACATCCAAGACTGACTTGCCCTTTCTATGTGTCTCTCTGTAAACCTTGGGAGATCCTTTCAGATTTTTAAACAGCATTTATTGGATGTGGAGAAATGGCAGGAAAATAAGTAGGCATGTAAAAAGATGGAAAGTAGGCAAAAGACGTCTTGCCAGAGGAGCTGGAGAGCAGGGGAGATGGCATTTTCAAAGACTGTGCAGCACATACAGCAGCTTCTGTGAAAAGCTGGGAAGTGACCATTATTAGGGCTTGAGAATGTTACAGCTTAATCACCTTAATAGGACCTTTTAGTGGCGAACCCAGTGCAAAATGAGCCTCCACTTTCCTGGGATTTTCTTTCTCTCAAAGGCTAAGTGGCTTTACATCTGTCTTTTGCACCTCTCTAAACCAACTGAGCAACCTTCTCTCTAGGCATTATTCTTAAAACTTTGGTAATGTGAACTCAGAGTGCTCCCTCTCCTTTTCCTGTGCGCAGTTGTTGCATCCACAGTGACAGAACTCTGTTCAAAGCCTTTTGGCAGACTTTGGGTGCCAACAGCCTTGTCAAAGTTTCACTCCAGTTTCAAGCAGAGATTGAAAGATTCATGATTTCAAATGTCAGATTTGTGTCTGCTCCTCTCCTTATATAACTTGCAAACATAAGTCATCATGCATGTACTACACCCACAGCCCCTTTTCTAAGCTAAAATAATACAATGCACTTTGGGAGTTTTGAACTCTTCACCTCAGATGAGGGATTTGAGGATGCTTTAACAAAATTATCTGTATGAATGTTTCCTAAAAGGACTGAAACAGTAAGAGAGTCCATGTACTCTCTTACAAAGAGTGTGGCTGTCATCTAAAGATGTTCTGCATTTCTGTCAGGAGCTTTGCTTTGATCAAAGGTAGATAAATCTTGTACTATCTGAATTTCTGTTCGTGTTAGTATATAGAAGATATTGTTCATATAAGATAGCTGGATAAAATAGAAGTAAGTATAAACTCCTATATTTTAGTCTGACTATCTTGATGCAGCAAAAGGGAGAATAAAACTGTGCCACCTCAAAACTCACCAGCTGAAGGTCTAAATGAGAACTCTTATGTTCTGACATGCTCCATGAAGGGCCTGGGTGTCCAAACCAAAGGATGCATATAATCCCTCATTTAGATAATATTTTTAGCTCCTACATTTTTTTCTCTATGTGCTAAAATATAACAATCTTCTGTTTAAAAAATTAAGTTGTGCTCTAAGCACTTCATTTTCATAAAGCAAATGTTGGCCTTGGCAGACAATAGCCTATGATGGAGGTTTTAATTTATAGCACCTTAATTGCTTAATGGCTTTTTAGTCCCTAACTTAGACCTGAAATTTTCATAGGAAGCAGTCTATGTAGGAATTGACACTAAACAAACACAAAAGGCACCTTTCTATTCATCCTCTGTTAACCTTCACTCTACAGCAACAGCAACAATGAATTTATATCAGTTTTCTCTTTAAATCAGGAAACACAGCCCAGTTTTCAAGGATTTCCCTTAGCCCTTCTCATCTTTCAGGATGACATTTTATACACTTTTTAATTTTTATAGGGATACTTATCCCCACTAAGTATTCCAAGGGACTCAAATTCTTGTGTAATTGAATTACCAGGTTTATAGAAAATCACTTATAGACAAAATTGCCAAGGTGGGTGTGGGGAAAGAAGGAACATTTCAGCAAGATGTGGCCCATTATGCAAATTTGTCACCACATGCCATACATAATGAATAAACCTTGCGCTCTTAACACTTTGATTATAGACTATACAGACAATGCAAATTAAAATTCCTGCTGCTCCATAAACGAAATGAGAGGAAATTATGTAAATTCTAACACATTAGATTGATTTGGTTGAAACAAAACCTGATCCACTTGATGTTTTAGGGGAAGAGCCACAATTACAATGATTGAGAAAGTGCAGTGTTAATGAAGTGTGTTATTGCTAATCAATTCCTCCCCCTCTGGAAATGGCAGGACCATGAGCTCTGGCGCTGCCTGGTGCACTGCCCAGGGCGGGCTGGGCTCCGGGGCACGCTGGGGCTGCCAGAAACTCCCAGGAACTCCGTGACAGCCAGGAGGGGTGCGTGCTCTCAAACAGGAGAATTGTTTGGGGTGGAAAGGATCCTAAAAATCACCCCGTGCCACGGGCAGGGACACCTTCCACAAGATCAGGTTGCTCCAAATCACGTCCAGCCTGGCCTGGAAAACTTTTTGGCAATCCTGCCTGGCTGTCTTGGATGCTACTGGAAATCCTAACCAAGCAACTTCCCCTTGAGCAAAATAATCACCTTTCTGTGTGGTTGACTTCTCAGAAAATAAGGAATAGGATTTTCACCTGGTAATAAACTGACCATGTTTAGTTCATAGAAATTAAAAGCAAGGTCTTTCAGGCTTAAAAGTTCCCTGACCAAATTAAAGAAACTGAAAAATGGTACCAAACAGTTTTAAAAGTTTCAAATGAAACATTTTTCCAATAACAGTTGCCTGGGTTTTGTTGTAGGAATTTGGAATGTCTCTAAAATGGAACTCAGTTGATTAAATTCTGTGATCTGTGGGGAACTGATATACACAGAGCCGATAGAATGGTTCTATGGTTAATCAGTAGATGAAGGTTACACCTTTACACCAAGCAGAGGAAGATCTCTCCAAGCATCCTCTCACCATTTTATACAAAATTCTCTGTAGAACTCCTTACCAGTGAGGTCCAGAATACTGCATTGCTATCTTAATTATTCACTGCGTTGTATAAAATAATTAAGCAGTTTCTTTATCCTATTTTGCATTTTGCAGCCCTTCCTCTAAAATATTTCCATCTCATTTGTAAAGAAAAAAAACTTTCATTTGTAAAAGGATCTGCATCATTAGAAATTTGTGGCTCTTATCTCACAGGTAAATACAAGCAGGTAGAATGAGCCACTGTTTTATTTTCTATTTAGATAACTTTTATATCATTCTCAGAAACATTTGTCACTGCTCATAGTGGCTGCATTTGTTTCCTTCCTCTGCTGGTTTGTCTCCCGCTAATTTATTTTGGTTCCTGCTGCGGCACGAGAAAGCACAGACATCTCACTTCCTTCAGCAGCAGCTTCACACATAGGACTGGTGCAGGCTGTGAATAAAATGCATCCAAAACCAAGGCAGCACAGGCAAGGAGAGAGCTTTTATGCAGAAATGACGTAGCACATAAACACACAACACACACATCGAGGCTGGCACTTACCAGAAGAAATTCTAGTATTTTATGTTTGCTCCATGAACAAGGAAACAACAGGGGTCAGGCCCCAGCTGCAAAAGAAAATTTGGCCGACCGAGAAAAGAGAATGTTAAAATGAGAAGAGAAGGAAAAGATACAAAGGAGTTCATCTCTTCCAGAAATAAAGCGACATTTAGTTTTGCGGGTGGAGGATCCATTCTGGTGGCAACACAAGCTTCTCTGCTACAGCTGGGTTTTTAAAACTGCCACTCCATTTTCGCATCAGCAATTGTGAGCAATCGCTGCCCCTGTGAGAGGCTCAGGGAGCGCTGGGGCTGAGCTGCGCTCCCCTCCCGGAATTTATCCCGGCTTTGGGCCGGGATGCTGCGGGAGCCGCCGCCCCCGCACAGGGCTGCCCAGTCTAATTGCGACGTGCTAATTGGAATTTCATAGTGTGACGTGGTCAGAGAGCCACTCAGAGCTTGGCACAGAGCGATTTGCAACCCAAAATGCAAAACATCGCCCAAAACCGATGAACAGGAAAAACAACGGCAACTAAGCGGCTCTACAGGAGCGGGAGCTGAGCATTTCAGCGTGGGACAGATGTTTTCTTACATAAAACAGACACAAAGAATCACAGTGGTAAATATCTGACCCCACAGGAGTCATCTTAATTTCTAGTTCACAAAGACCTTAGAAAACTGAGTCTCTTCACATTAGGTTTTACTTGAATTCTTTGACTTCCCACTGCATTGTTTATAGGATCAGGCTCTCTTTGATGTTGGAACATTAGAAGGAGTGCAACAATAAATTTCCCATATTCTAATATCCAGGCATCCCGAGCTTGTTCAAGGAGCCCTTGATTCATGAAGGCAAATAATTAAATTACCTGAGCTTTGATCAAGAAGTCACTGCAGTCCCTTTTTGATGTCCATTGAGGCTGTTTGCAGCTCCACACAGATAGTTGGTCCACACGGGGTTTAACCCTTTTGGCACCAGCAGCAGACTGCAGGCAGTGTTCTGGTATTCCCAAGTGAGCCTTGCAACACCATTTGGGAATGCTGCTCCAGAAGGAGCACAGGAAGCATGGCAGGTCCAGGAGGATTCCTGTACCAGACTTGATGGGATGTTCATTGAAAGGCTGAATCTCTTTCTTCTAAACAAGGTGAAATTATTTCCCAGTCAGGTTAACCTGTATTAAAAGCATTTTTTGGGAGCTGCTCTTTGGATGGCATGGCACTGAGACATAAAAATGCTGCTGAGAAGCAAAGGGGTTTGCCTTGGTAGCACAAGAGATTTCATCACATCCACGCTTCCCAACAATTTCCCCCAAAAGAAATGGGAGTGGGCACAGACTCCCCTAGTCAGGTGAAAGAACACTCCTCAATAGGAAAATCAAGCAGATTTAAGCCTACCCTTTCCTCAAATACAAGCACCTGGATGAATTAATCTGTGCCATGATCAAACCAAAGCCCTGGTCATGCTGCATGCAGAAAACCAGAAACTAGTCAATGCAGACACTGTGCTCTTGGCTGATTTGCCATTCTGAATATGATTACTGAGAGAATTCCTCCACATAAATGAGGAATTAGACTCCTCTTCATTCATTCTAAGATTCTTTCGGGACATAAGGAGGTTACTAAAAGGACATAATTAGAAGTCATAATTAATACATAGCAATCTCTCACTTGGTTCCCTACACAGCTCCAACAACACAGTCAATCTATGGCCACCATAGAGCCTAATTTTAGCAGCAGTTGCATGGATGATAGAAATGACTGAGATGTGGCAAAACCCGTTCTGCAACAGGACTTTTCTGGCCTTTCATGGTAGAAAGGCATCTGTCCTTCACAGCACAGCTGGGGAAAGGATCCCTGTCATGCAGAGTGACAACTCAATTCACAGGATACGGGCTGCAATGAGCATGCCTGACTTCCCCTAGACAACAGGCAAATTATTTTGGGGCATGGGATATAGATGAGGAAATATTTACATTAAAATGCTTGATAAAGTCTTAAAAATTTGGGATGTTTCTGATTTGTTGGAAAAGAAAACTTGGTGCTTTCTGTAAAGCCCAGAGGGGAAATGTGTATAATGAATTATTAAGAATGAGAAAAGGAGCCAATGTACTCACAATTTTATGCATTTTCCATTAAACCAAAGGAGTTGCACATATAACTAACATGAGAAATGAGAAACCTTCCTCTTTGAGCAAACACTCCTGGTAACACCAGTGAAAAAGTGTTAAAGGAGGAGCTGCTGATCTCCAATTCAACAAGCAATTAACATTCATTAACTCAGAGTAATAAAATGCCCAAGGCAATTATGGGTTAAATATAGTATTCTTTAAAGAATATAGAAACAGTTAAAGCACAAGCATTACTCCAGTTTATTTTGAATTATTTCATTTCTAATAAAAATGGATGTGATTTCCAGATGGGAGATACCTCCAGGCAAAAACATTCTCCTTGTGTCCTGCAGTAGGCAAAATCACTAAATACAAATGGAAAAGTCTTTCATAGAAATTATTGACTTCATTTACATTATTATTTTCTTGCTAAAGTACCAATGATCTTCTGTAAATACTGGGGGTGGGTTGGGGTGGGGGGGAGGGGGAGAAGTAAATAGAATTTAAAAGTCCTGAGTTTTGGTAGCTCTCCTATAACTTACAACTTCCAAGAAATTACTTGCTGTTTACTCATTTCTGAAGGGAAATACCATAAAGGCTGAGCTGTTTCCTAGACTGTTTGTGGGGATAGTTACAAGCAGGATTTCACAGCTCTGTGATCAAAATACAGAATTGCACCCAGTCCCTCAGTGACAAGGGACACTGCATAGTTTGGTAGTAGTCCTCAGGATGCTGGGAAGGCAGAAATTCCAGGAGTACCTGCCCTGATCTCCAGCTCATCCCGAAAAAGCCAAGGTCAGGACAATGAGCAGCTGCAAATCTTAGTAAATCTTGACTGATCTGAGAACTGGCACTTCCTCTGCAGAACTGGTTATTTCAGTCCAACTCGTTTCAACCTGATTGGATAATTAAACACATATTAATGCAATTTCATCTATTTGATGGAATATTGAGAGCATTCCTAACACTGGTAGGACCAAAACCTGGATGAGCCCTGGGATGCACAACTCCATCTAAACTCAAACTCAGTGTAACCACCAAAACTCCCTGAAATGGCACATGAAGGGTGCTGCTCAATAATCCCAGTATCAGTGAATAATCCCATGGACTCCAGCACCACTTCTCTGCTTTAGATCAGGTTCACCAGTCTGAATTTAACCAGGAGGTGCAAACATCAGATAAACAGCTTAAACCTGCCTGCTCATAAAAATAATTTTAAAAAGCTGCTAACCACAATAACAAAGTTTTCACCATGTATTAACCAAGGTGGATATTTCCAGTGCCTTCCAAAAGTAAAATCCACACTGAAGAGCACAATAAAGAGGAACTCAATATCGAGTCCATGCCATAAGGAAAAAAACCCAGCAATTTGACTTTTGACTTTCAATTTTCCTCATGTGTTTTGACTGCTTCTTTAAACCCCAAGCCAGCAGCCACCACAAATTTGGTATTTGTGATGCTCCAGAATGACAGCACATCACTGCAGCCTGGAGTGAATCCTTGTGCTACCTTTTGCATGGAGTTCATCATGTCCTAGTTCCATGTGACAGCTGCGTATTGCACTTCTCTAGTGAGGCAGCAGGGCTGGCTCCCACTTCCTCTCCCAGGAGAGTGCTCAGGTATTTCTCAGATCATGCTCTTGCCTCATTTCAATGCGGGGTTTTCTTTGTCATGAAGTAAATAATTATTGAAGTCATTGAATGTACCGAGACTTAATTTTAACTGTTCCCAGCACTTTGACATCTACTGAGACAAATACACAAACGAGCTTTTGCTGTTGGATCCAAAAAGTGAAATAATGTCAGCAGAAGGTCACTGGACATCAGCTCCAAGCTCATAGTGAATGGTGTGATTGCTCTGCAGGCTGGACATGGAAACCTTGCTTAATTCAGGGAGCAGGAAGAGTCAGAGGAGAAGGCAAATGTTGGATAAGCCTGACTCAAGGAAGCTGAGGAGAATGTCTCCACTTTTGAACACAAGGACAAATATGAAAATTAAAAAAAGAAAGGTCAGAGGAGGCTGCTGCACCTGCTAAAGGTGAGGTTATGGCAGGGCAGAGCAAAGTTTGCATTGCAAAGTGGGAAAGTCTGGGGGTGAAATGTTCACTGAATATTAGATTTGGAGCCGCACAAGGAGAGCGGGGTCTGACAAACTGAGGGGCAAGGAATCTCACACACACCTCAGCAAGGTGAGTGAACTCCAGCTGAAGGTGCAGGAACCTGAGAGACCTCAAGCCAAGGTCAGGAGCACAGGCAGGACTCCAAGGGCACAGAGACATCAGCCTCAGCTGCTCTGCATGGTTCTGTGTGAGCCCGGGCATGCAGATGCCCCAGTTAGCTCTGAATGATCCAAATCAGCTTTTTTTTTTTTTGTCGAGGGCAGTGGACTGTGACCTGCAGCACTGGGTTGGGAAGCACTGAGCAAGGGATCAGCTAAAACCAGTTTTGCTTACAGGGCTGTAGTCATAGCACCACAGAAAACTAGAGATCTCTAAGAAGATTTGTGACTTAATACTTGAAACATGAACATAAAGAATTGATGAGTATAATTTTTCATATAAATATTACAAAATTCATATTTTTAAGGACATAAAAAAGCAATTATGACCTACAAACTATCTGACCTACAACCACTTGTATTGCTACCTAATCAGCCCTTTTGTATGCAAATGCCAATTTGTTTGCATGCAAATGCCACTGCCTGCTCTGTTTTCTTCTTGCTTTAGAAAGAGAAATGCTATGGAAATTGCCACCGTGTTAAAAAGAACTGAAATGCATACTAATCAGCCATATTTTCCCAGCTATACCAGCTATAATTGGAACAGTAACAAATAAAAAGGCAACAATCAGCGCTGGACAAAATTTTCTATTTGAATCAGAGCCCCAAGTAAAATTATTATTCAACTGCTTTTCAAAATTTTGGAACCTCTTGCGTCTGGAGAAATTGGGTTTGAAACTGCAAATGAACAGTGACTTTTCACTAATGTGAAATATTGAAGCTCTCTGGAATTTCAATTGCAAGAAAAATATCCTGAAAGAGAATGGGAAGGAACCATTATCATAAAAAAATGTCTGTTCTCTGTGTGCACTGGATAAATGTTGGAGTGATTCTCAGTTCCACCAAGCTGCTGATCCTTGTGGCTTGTGCAATATGGAATGGGAGGGTTTGATCAGTGCTCTGGACCTGCTGAATTAACCTGGCAGCATTCAGCTGCTCAAATTTTGCTCCTTCCTGGAAAACAGTTCACAGCCATTCCTGCCTGAACAGAAAGTGCCCTAAAAGCAAGAAATGCACTAAAACCTTGTCTTGAATGATCTGCCATGAGCTGAGTGATGCTGAGAAATCCTTAACTGCACCAGTGTGTGGTCAGGTCTCTGAAGGGAGCACTGCTCTGAGGAGGGTGAGATTGAATCCTAGAATTGAATCCAACATTTCAACTGTGTTTTCCATTCTAATGAGACCTTTCTTAATTTCTAAATGCCATTCAAAGTCCTGTATTTGCCTCAGGACTCTCTTTATCAAATTAAACTGTGTCAAAAAATTAGGGGTAAACTTTTTGAATGGCATTTTCCTTGAGCCATTTTCCTTGAAGGCTGCAATTTTTACCTGTTCCTTTCAGAAAAGTTTTCCAGTCACCTCTATAAATGATTCAAATGCCAGCCAACTTTGCACAAGGTCTATTTCTTTTGTTTGCCTTGCAATTTCTACACACACACCACACAAAAAAACCCAAACAAAAAAAACCAAACCAAACCAAAACAAAAAAAAACCCAAAAAACAAACCACCCAAAACAAAACCTAAAAAGCCTTAGTTGATAAAAGATGAAAGGAGTAACAGAGTTATTCATTCACCAGCCAGGATTTTTACTTTAAAGATAATTACTTTAAATCAAGAAGGGGCAGAGCGTTTAAATTTATTACTTAATGCTGACCTATGCATGTATTAATAAAACAGCATTAATGGAAATAGGGCTTAGTCTCCTGATTCCAATAGAGCCATCATTTCTGCT